TCCCAACTTGAAAAGCATTTGCCCTACGGTTTTGAGGACGTGTGGGACACTCTTTGATAATGTGTCCTTGTTGTTTACAATAATTACAGAACTTCTTGCCACAATTGCTAGCAATATGACCATATTTCTTGCAACTGTAGCATTGAGTTCTAGCCATATCCATGCCCTTTCCTTTCCCTTGAGCTGCAAATGCGACAGTGACAACATTTCCTTGATGAAAAGCATTTTGTGTGAAGAGACGCTGCTCTTCACGAAGTAATTCCCTAAAACAGACATCCAACGATGGAGATGGATCACGGTTCATCAAGTTGGAGCGAACATTTTCAAAATCAGATCGTAATTTCATCAAAAATTGATCTCGCTTGCTTTGTTCATGAACTCCTTGAATGATGGAGATAGATTCAGAAGGTATTGTAGCATAAACGATATCGGTAAATTCAGCCCATAAGTTCTGAAATCCAGAGAAATAATCTTGAACAGAGAGACCTCCTTGAGAATACATAGCAATTTCATGCTCTAACTGAAAGCGCCTTGCGCTATGGTCTTGGTTGTAAACCTTTTGTAAATAATCCCACATGGCCTTTGCTGTCTTGTATGGCCTGAGATTAAGAACAATAAGAGGGTCAATTGACCCTAAAAGCCATGTCATCACCCGAGCATCTTTAACCTTCCATTGATCGAGCTTTGTAGGATCAGTAGGAGTAGGATCACTTCCATCTATATGTCCCCATAATTCTTTTCCAGTGACAAATAGTTGGAATTGAAATTCCCAGGCAGAGTAATTTTTTCCTGTGAAACGAACATAGAAGGACTCAAACTGATATGACGCCATGTTCTTGACAAGTTAAGGAAGATAGAAATGCAATGATACAAAATAACCAAAATGACCAAGACTGAGATTCCAAAATGCCTAAAATTCCAAGATACTTAGGACTTACTGTTGACTAAAAAACAGTAAGCTGAACCAAAACTTTCAAAAAAAATTCTGAAAGAAACCACAGATGAAAGACACTAAGAATCAAAGCACTGAAAAAGGCTCTAATACCATGTCAATTTTGCTGAATGAGTTCTCTCAAATGAGAGTTCTTCCATTAAATAGAAAGAATTCTGATTTACATGCCTAAAAATCTGCTATATATCCCTAAATATATGCTATTCCTAATTGTAATATCTCTGAAAATATGCTACATTAATCTATGCTATCTCCTATCATCATTACACAAATATTTAGAGTTATAACATAGATATGTACAGATATTTAGAATCTATCCAATCATGCTAACAACCTGAAGCTTCTCGGGTGTCTTATTGTTGATGCATTCTATGCATCTTTATGGCATTTTAATTCTGACTATTATCTTTATTTCGGTGAAGCAGTTTCCTCTCAAGCAAGACCTTTATCTAACAGACCAAGCAAATGATGTTCACATGGGATGCAGCTGTATAACTTCATGTGAATTAGCTGGTCATCAAAGTTATAATGTGTTCTTTGTTGGCAGTCATAATCTCACAATTTCTGTACAAGCAAAGGATCTGATTGATGGATTAGGTTACTTGAAGGAAGTGGGAAGGACAGAGGAAGAGACTCTTTACTTTATTGAACAAATCTGCACTTGTTGGTGCTCTGATAAATTTGTAGAACTGTGACATTCAAGTAAGTAATATTGTGATGAGGGTGCTCAGAACCAAGGCCGCTTTCAATATTTTTGAGAGCCTGAGATGTTAAGACTATGCTGATGAGATTTTCCTGATTGTCTCCAGAGCATGATGCTTCATCGTGTTGTAAGCTGACAAGCATTTACAGGGAGAATGTGCTTAATTAATGATGATTATATAAGGGTTCTACCTCATTCTCCTGGATCTCAGAGAAAGCGGATGCTTAATATTGAAGTGTCAATTAATGGCAGGGTAATACCTATCAAGAGAACCAAGGAGTTGGTCCAAGTGGTGGAAGCCTTCTAGGTGCTTAATCCTCTATGCTCAAATTTCAAATCCTACTGGAGCCATATTCATTATTCAAGCTTGTGTTGGCCCTGGGCTACGAACCTTGTGAGGTGATTAATGCTCTGTAGTTGTGCCTTGAATGATTTCAATGGGGTTATTGGTCCCCTAAAACCCAAAAGACAAGGGAAAAAGAAATTTACAGGAAAGCAATAAGCATAGGATAATTACTTTTCCATTGGCTAACCCCTCAAAATTTAGTTAATGCGAATCTCCAGGAACATTTCGGGTTTCTATGAAATGTCGTGCGAGGATATTGAATGTCTTCTGGTGCATTTTCTGCTATATGTTCCCTGACATCTAATGCATGTGGAATTGGTTAATGGTGTTTGAGAATGTTACTTGCTGTTTTTTTGTCTCTCTTATGGAGGAACAACCTGGGACCTGGAAGATCCACATCCAATCACGTCGTACAGTGAGAAGAGATAGATCAACCTCAAGGGGTTGGGGTCTGAAGGCATGCCACAGTTGCAGGAGCTTTCCTGGCAGTCAAATTTGAAAATATAGAGCTCACCCAGAATGGTTGTTATCATTGCTCAGAAGACCTCATTGGAAGTTACTGTTACTGTGCTACGCGAGAACTAGAGAAAGGTTGTCATTTGGTTAATGATCGATCCTGCAGAGGAGACATGAAAATTGTATTGGAGAGGTGCATGGATAAAAATTCTGGCACTTTGAATTTGCTTGTGGTGTTTGTATCGGAAAGATACATGGATAAAATTTCTGGCACATTGAATCTGCTTGGTGCTCGAGGGAGACAATCAGAGGAGTTTTGATGGTAAGGCGAATCTGCTTGTGGTAGTGTTCGATTGCTTGTATTGTAACCCGAACTGAGACAACTGACCACTTATTCTTTTCTATTTCAAATTACACCAATTCACTCTACATAGTCCCTTGATTCTGTGTTGAGGAATATTGCAAGAAAGACTCTTAAATCTATTTGAAAACAAGATGTCATAATCTCCATTACCACATATATTCATCAACCATATTTGAAATACAAGCCAAACATTTTCATCCACACATGCAAACAACGTGCATGATGAACTGTGATTAACACAGTTAAACAGTACTTGCATCAGGGCAAGCATTATTACACAAAACATTGCAATAAACAGTATTTACATCAGGGAGATACATTTTCAGATGAAGCATTGGGACTATTGCAACAAAGGAGCAGGTAATGACTGAACGTTCTTCATGTTAGTTTTCAGCCACTTGAAGAACTGCGTTTTGAGAAGGAAACAGGGCAATTTGATCGTCCAAAGTGAAATGGCAAATAGGCTTGTCTCCAGGCTTAACGTTGAGCAACTGAAAAGGCAATGCCTTAGGGTTCATGGATGCAGTATCCTCATGGCAGACTGATACTGCATTAACTTTTGTTCCATCAGCACCCACCATAGACACCATAAATGTCCTAGTGCTTCCTACATCATGGCAAAAGTGTACTGCATATGGGTAAGCTACTTTGTGACATACAACACCTTTGCCATTTGCTTTCTCTTCCACTTTTTCGATGGTATATGCTTGCACCTCTGGAGTTTCCTTCTCTACTTCAGTGGACATTGCTATAATATTGTTTGTTCCCAGGTGAGATAAGGTGAAATCAATCATAGATTCCAAAGAAGTGGCACAATGTTTTACCTCTCCGTTACCCGCAGGCTCTTCACACGTTTTGATTGTTTTCTTGATGTCTTTAGCACGTTCTGAGTCCTTATCAACAGAGAAGTGATTAAGAATTTCCTCAATTTTGTCCGATGAGAAAGCGATGGAATCTACAACTTTGCGTGGCAAAATGGGTGCTGGATTGTAGTTTTTGAGAGACTGAAGATTCATTTTTTTCCCTTGATGTAAATCTGTTTCAAAGAAGTATGGCGTCACTGGGTGATTGTCATTAAGATCTTTCTTAGCAGCATCATTTTACCATCCAAACACTCCATATGGTTGACGTACTTTGTGAAGCTCATTCTCGGAGGCAGCCTGATACCATCCAAACACTCCAAATGGTTGGCGTACTTTGTGAAGCTCGTTCTCGGAGGCATCATTGTACCATCTACCCACTCCAAATGGTTGGCGTACTTTCTGAAGCTCGTTCTCTGCCAACAAAAGTATTCGAAAACAAAAGACCTTAGTATTAATTAGATCTTTTTTTCCTTATGGAACAACATTACAGGCAAGCAATATGCCTTCAAATGGTGCGTATTTTAAACAAACGATTGAAAAGCTCTTAGATTTATTTACTTTTCAATTAGGTGCTTCATCTTCCCTCTATTTTACTGCAATCAATACATCCCTTTCATACTACCTCAACTTTTTGTACTTTTGATTTTTAATGAATTGGAAGAACATGAGAAAATTTTGTTTTTATTTTTTTGTTTGTATGTCAAAAGATTAGGGCTGTCAATCGTTCGGTTCAACTAGTTATTTTAGTGTTTATACCTTTTTTTTGATTGGTCTATTTTTATAACCAAAGTGGGACTTTCAATACCATTCAATCACCCCGATTTTTCTTTAGTATCAGTATGATTAAGTTAATTTTTAATATATATTTTTATATGTCATTAAAATTCACAACTAAAAGTTCGAAAATGAAATCATTGGTACTTGCATATAACTTTGGTAAAATTTCGCTAAATTTCTATAGAGATTTATCCCACTATTCTACAATGTGAAAAACAAATTAAGTAAATAAGAGAAATTTAAATCATATAAACAAGTGGAAAGCTATTAATCAAGATGAGACTCATAGAGAAATCTAAATCATACGATAGGGTAAATTTATTAAATACAACCCGATATATATTTTTAAATTTATTTTTATAAAGTTTAAACATATCCTAATTATTTGGTAGAATATGGATTTATTTGGTAGACTATGCACGCGACCAAAATGCATACCTCATTTAACAACAAATACTACAAGAGAAAAAAAATGAATTTAACTATGAACTTCATTATTCATCCATCGTCAAAATTTTCGGAGCTAAGAACTCTTTTTAATAACTCGTTATTAATTTGTCGCTAAATAGAAATAGCTATCATTTTCATGTTTGTTTAGTAATAAAATAACTTAATATATAAAAGGAAAAAGGATAAAAAATGCCCTTAAACTTTGTGAAAGGAACAAAATTTCATCCGTTTATAGTTTCGCTAAAAAATGCCGTTGCCATCAATACTTTGGTTAAAAAATGTCTTGCGGTCAATACTTTGGTCCAGAAATGCCCCTATAATTACTAAATTGGTCAAAAATACCATTTTCCAAATACATATATTTTTTTTCTTTTTAAACACATCTCAGTCCTAATTAAAATATTATTAAAGAACCATGTTCTTGTTTTCTTTCTTTTAAAATCACTTTAACAAAGGAAAATGTAAGAAATATTTTTTTTCTTCTTAATCTCATTTTATCAATTAAAATAGAATACCTTCATGTACCCTTTCGACGGATAATATATGTCATATATATAAGATCATAGTATATCCATCATTTATTTATATTTATATAACGATAAAAAATAATTATAATAAAATTAGAAATATTTTCATTGTTTATTTTATTTTCTGAATTGAAGTAAGATAAACATTTGCTAATTTAAAAAAAATTATTAGAAAAAATGTGTTAAAAAGAAAATAAACAATATATTTATTTGAAAAATAGTTGAGAGACATTTTAAGCCCTTCTCTATTTAATATAATATAAATAGTAAAATCATTTTTCTCTGTTTAATGAATCTTACCAGAAATGTGTAGTGCATCTTTGATAGGTGTGGGCATGGGAGTATTAGGCAATTTGACTCTCCAATACACCTCAGGAGATAAATTTGCTGCATGACTTGCCACAAAAATTACCTAAACACAACAACAACAATCAATTAATTAATTGTTCATCTATAATCTACTTAATTTTTTTTTTCAATTGAAGATTAAAAATAAATTAAATATTATTTTACTCACAGAGAAAAGTGTGAAGAAATAATATTGGTGATGCAACTCCATTGTAAATGTATTTGCACACAATATAATGTTTGGCTATGGGATATGATTGTTAGGAAATTGGTAGCCAATTTATAGGGGTTAAACAAGTGCCTTTATGGAAATATGTAATAAATATTAAATTATATAGTTATCTTATCTTATAATTAAATAATTTGAGATATGTACACAGTACACACACTCCCCCTCATGCTGAATTTATTCTCTGTAACTAATGGTGACAACTGACAAATGGACAAAATTGAGTCAAATTTAGACAGATAAAAACGAGTCAATATAAACAGTTAATAATTTAAATTGTCCATATTTTATATGGTGTATTGGATAAAAGAAACATTGATTCATATTTTCATAAGTAAACAATATTTTATTTTAGAACTTAATATTAAGGAAATACTTTAATCTTCTTTTGGATGAGAAATGTTGAAATTATCTTATTTAGTTTTATTATATATAAAAGTCATAATAAACTTTTTTTTTTATAACTTTTCAATATAAAATAAAAGCGAAATAATCTGAGAGGCCCCTGTACTTGTATCTGTTTGTCAGTTGAACCCTTATACTCGTTACTTTGCCAAATGAACCCTTAAATATGATACTCTATTTTTTAAACTCCTCTGACCATTGACCGAACTTATGTAATATTAAAATGGCTGAGTTGAACAAACGCGTGATCACACGAGGTTTGAAGCAAGTGAATACATTTTTTTTATTTTAAAAATCTCAGACAAAGCAATAATAATAAATTTTAAAAAATAATCAAGAACTCCTTCTTCAGCCCACGCAACCCATCGCCACCCCCACCCCTTCTCTCTTCTTATTCTTCTTCAGCCCCACCTTTTTCCTCTTCTTTTCAACCCCAGACCCCCCACCCCCCCAATATCTCATTCACTTTTTTTAAAACTTGCGTTTTCAAGATCTATTGTTTGAATTTACTTATAAACATATATATATATATTTTTAATTTAAAGTTTTCTTGATATATCTTTTTGCCAAATCTAAATAAGTAGAATCCAAAAGCATGCGTAAGAGCTACTTATAATCTATCACATTTTGTTATTGAGAAAATTTTTGAGCGTGAGGAAGACGAGAAATGGTGATTTTTATTTTTGGGATGAAGGGTAGAGGGTGCGGAGGAAGAATATGAAGAGGGAATATGGAAAATGAGTATAGAGAGAGAAAAAAATTACACCATTTTAAAAAAATATTATTTATTTTTAAATATTTAATTTTTGACATGTTATTGAAAAATAATAATAATATTGATGTGTCATTAAAAAATGACGTGGAATTTTATGTGTAAAACAAGTGTAATACATGCACACACATCTGATGAGAAAGAGGTTTAAAATATTGTGTTTGAATGAGTTTAAGGGTTCAGTTGGCAAAGTCAGAAGTACAAGGGTCCAACTTACAAACGGAGCCAAGTTCGAGGGTCTCCCAGGTCATTCCGCCTAAAATAAATTTACGTAATAATAAGGGAAAAATATTTATCATAGTCTGAATTTTGAAGTAGATGAAAATTGCATTTTAAGAGTAAACATGCTTTATTTATTTTAAGCAATATCAACATTAATACATGATTTGTTCACTTTACACTATATTATTTATTATCTAATATAAAATTAAACAATAGAAAAATATAATTATAGTTAACAAAATAAATGTATATTTAATATTAACAAAGTTATGTACTTTAGCTTTTAACAAGAAAAATGTAGATGTAGACATTCAATATACATCTAATATATATTAACAAAAATATTACAACAAAAAGTAACCCATATTATTGTATATATTAACTCAAAATTATTGATTGAAAAATTCATACTTATCAACAAGTTTTTAAATGCAATTTCAGTTACTGATGAGTTACTCTATATTGTGATGAAAAGTAACCCATACAAAACTTGACAGTCATAAATTTGTTATACTTGCAAATGGTATTTAAGTATGTAATAGATAGAAGATTTTTTTTATTTTTTTTTGAAAACAGAAAGGAAAGATATAAAATCATGAACTATAAGTGAATGAAAGTCGAAAACTGAATTCATTAGGCTAATTCATATTTTATTCATGAATATTCATAATTTTATGCATAGAATATGAATTAAAATTTTAAAAATTATCCATCCGATCCACTGAAATATAAACGAATCGAATGAATTATCATAATATCAACTTATTTTATCGACACTATATAACACATAAAATATCACAACCCTTCAACTATGATTTTATAATTCAATGTGCACTAATTAATAATAATGTTCATTTTATTAAACAAATCTAGAATGTACCCCACAAATGGCAATCATATAATCCTTTCCACGGGTTTCTCGTGATCTCTTTATTTTACTAAGTTATAATGTTTGCAATCTTTTCAACTTTATAATAGGCTTGGTTCGTTTTCACTCTAATTTTTAATTATTTATAAGCCAATTCATTAAGTATATATTTTTCTTACAATCATTTGTTACCTACCTCCTAAAAGATTTGTATTATTTAACTCTGGTTCAATATTTAAGGGAAACCTAATTCTTGATTCAAGGGTGAGTTATATCTTTTATAGATTTTCATGAATTTTTCTGTATTTTCTTGTTCATCTTTTCAGACACGGACATAAATTTTAGTTTTATGTTGGTTTCGGAGTTGCATTTTCAGTCTGACTATTTAGAGTTTTGCTATGATGATTTTCAATTCTTAGGGATTGTTTTTCCGCATTAAATGTTTTTGGATTATTGAATCGAGTTTAAGGGAACTCAATTCTTTAGTTGACTAATTTATTTTCATTAGTTTTATATGATGAACTTCTCTTATTTATGGTGTTGGGTTGTTTTGAATTAGTAGTTGATTCTCTCACAAGGTGATTTAAAGTGGGTGTCACTCACAACGATTGGAATCGCAAGGATCCTATTCTAGTTAGCTAAAAGCCATGATAAACATACAAATAAAGCTAATAAAGTCTTTATTTTCTATTTTTGTAGGGATTGACATTGACAAAGACGAAACATCATCTCAAAATTAATAATCACAATTCTTGAATGATTTAAATCAGATGGCAAAGTAAAATTATAAAAAACTATATGATATGAATAAGAATATAAATATTTAGTTTTAAAATATTAAGAAGTGTTTAAAAATCGAATCATAATAAGTTCATTAAGTGATAAAGCTAAACTTGGAGAAAATTAACAAAAGAAATTTTAAAAAAAAGATGATTTAAATGGAACCCAAAACACACTAAGATATTTGTGTACCCATATTTCCTCGAAAGGATTAAGACATATTTTGTTTGTTTGTATTTTTTTTCCACTCTTCTTTGTAGTAAATATTGCATACGTATTTGTTGAGAGTTAAATTATAAGTTTCCAACTTTTTGAAAAGGATGTATCTGTGTATAAACACATCTATCTGGTATCAAAGTATCAAAATTGTGATATATTTAGTGTATTTTTTTTTATAGATACATACTTAGAAAAAGATGAAAACGAAGATACAATAATCGAGATACATATATTTATACATAGAGATATGTGTCTGGAATAATTATTCCTTAATTAGTAGCCCTTTAATAATTATCCAATATCAATTACGTAGCAGAACAAGGAGAGAAAAAAAGATTAAGGGGAGAGGAGAGTAGAAAAAGAGAGATTATGTAATTATATTAAAGTATAATAAATTTAACAAAATATAGCGGAGATATTTATATAATTAGGTAATTTTGCAAAAATGGCTTTAACCTTTCTTTTAAGTTCTTTCATTTTTACCATTAATAAAAAAGTTAATTATAATATATTAATCATTTTATAACAAAAAATATTCCGTAAATTGCAAAGTTAAAAATAGTATATCAGTTCCTTCCCCTTAAAATTATTATCACAAGTATGATTTTTCGAAAACTGCGTCCTCATATAATTTTATAATGGCATGGGCCGCATGGCATTGTCATATGCAATAATAATAATGTTCATTTTGTTGAAAAAATATGTATTTGGCTATTAGAATAATAAATAGCCCATAAATGGCAATAATACAATCTTGCCCATGCATTTCTCGTGATCCCTTTATTTTAATAAATTAGGATCGCGCCATTTTAATTGCAAGATTCACAAAATGCATATGTCCATTGATAACAAAATTGACATACATATTTACATTTCGGTTGCTTAGAGTTTGCAGAGAATAAAGAGGTCGTGAATGAAGCTAATGCTAATGAAGAGAATAATAGTAACAATTTGGTTGTGAATCTTTTTCATATTGTTGTGTATCAATGTTATGAAAAAAAAATAATATTAAGAATGGGTTTTAATGGAGCCAAACACATATACAACCCCATTTAAACACGAAATATTATTTTTATAATTTCTTTGTTTTTATTTATGCTCTTCAATTACAGTTTTTTTATTTTAAAAATTGATGTGGTTTCGTTAATTTTCGTAAAAAAATTAAACATTAACATACAAACATTAATTAATTTTTTTTAAAAAAAAACTTTTTAGAATTTTTATGTATTTTTTGCATGAAAAATAACTGACGACATTGTGTTTGTAATACCTCAGAAATCAGACTCAAACTAAACATCAAAAAAAGGTAAACCACGGAGGGCTTCACGGGTTGTGATCAGGACCATGACCCGTTACCCTCATCATGGTTCACGCCCACCCAGAAGTGGTGGACCACGGAGCCCTCTACGGGCCGTGGTGTAGCTCGCCAACCTTCACCAGTAGACCCCAACCCCTAGGTGAAGAACCGCGCTGTCATTCACGGTCCATGGTCCTTCACACGGTCCATGAAGTGGACCATAGTTGGGGGGTACCAAGGACCAGTAAGCACTGGCCAAGAACCACAACGCACTTGACGGGCCGTGGTCCCTTTGACGGTCTGTCAGTGGCTCTGTGATTGGCCTCCGTTAGCTTTTAAGTCAGGGTCGTTTTGATTTTCCCCCCTATGCATTGACATTTAAACTATGTCGTTTAACACCTAAACTACGTAGTTTTACTCAGTTTAAGCCTAGTAATCTAATCAGAACCTACCCAACACATTTATTCACCAAATATCATCCAAA